AGAGAGCATCCTCTGTCTCAGTGCGACAGTGTGGTACAGGAGCTGCACTGCACAGGACAGAAAGGACTTGATCCGGGTGGTGAGAACAGCTCAGGGCATTGTAGGGAGTCCTCTTCTGGTCTTACTATACACTGGCCAGATCCAGAGGAGGGCCAGACAGGTTGCTGCAGACCCCAAAGCTGTGAAATCAATCACCCCCCTAACCCCTAGTCACATACAACCTCCCCCCTATGGACAGACACAGACAGAACACTAGACCTCTGCAGACACACATCCATGCTCACACCTCTTCCTAAAGACTAAAATTTGTACAGAGCTGCACCTTATAATGTTACTACACTCTTTTGCTGCTAACATGCTGCTGACCTGATTAGGTCCCATACATCCCTTTTTATTTGCTCATTGTTTTATATTGACTTATACAATTGTGTGTTATGTAAATAATGTGTCTGTCTTTTAATCCGAGAGCTGCCGGAAAAAAATTTGTTGTGCTATGCATAATGACAAAGATTCTTGACTTAATAACCTTCAATGCAATACCTCTCCTCAGTGCAATACCTGTAAATATACATTGTACAGATTATACAGATCCGTACATGTCTCTAGTTTTAAGTACTCTATTTTTATTCCTATATATCTAATTTCACAATGAGCATTCCTCTGTCTGTCTGCATTGTTTACTCCCTGTTTATACTGCTTATTTCACATTGTTTGCACTGTTTGTTGCTGTTTATACTGCTTATTTTGTTATATTACACAGCCTTATGCTGGTTTACTGTATACTTGCCACTTGCATGGGGATATGTACATGCACACTGAGAGCTGATGTACCAGAGTCAAATTCCTCATGTGTGGACACACCTGGCCAATAAAGCTGATTCTGATTTTGATTAAATGTAAACATTAGCATACAATTCATAACCAAACTCGAGACACTGATGTGATAGCAGCGCCCATAGTGCTTCCACCATATTCCCTTCTTCATCTTTTCCTGCTGCTGTAGTGTAGGAAAACGCAGCCCTTCATTCATTCAAGAATTAATGTTATGTTGCATCAAAATGCAGTCTAATAACCAAATATGTTCACTACTACAATACTGTATGTAGTGATTGTGTGTTTAAACATCTAAATAATGTGTCTAGCATGCCTATATAATGTGCAGTCACTGTATCAGCAGAGACAGGCTACTAAGTTATGATTTTATGACGTCTGTCAGATCATAGGCGGGGTTCCCATGCCTATTACTGTTGCCAGCGTTCCCGGCTTAAGGAAATTGTTGCCAGTCCCTTGAGCACATAGCGGAAGTTAGTGCCAGTGTCAAGACTAACCAGCAGCAGCATTCTCTCTGGAGCGCATTCCAGGGATTCCTTGCGCACCGTGCTCCGCACCTGTCCGACAGGTGTAGTTCACGTAGCTCGGCTGACTCACACACAGGCGCCTCTTAAGGGGGGCCTTCATGGTCATCTATGGGTGAATGTCTGCGGAGAGCTTGCCCATGTCTGGAAACACTATGGCAGAAGATTTTCGGCGACCAAAAGGAACCTGGTGGTCATAGTGGAGGAGGAAGCGCCAGAAGCGCTGATCACAACAGTGTGGTGATACGATCCAGCGAGAGCGTGCCCGAGAGCGGACCTATCTACAAGGCAGTTTGGTCGTTTAAAGCCCGACACGAGGACGAGCTGTCGTTCCAGGAGGGAGATCTGTTCAACGTTATCAGCAGCACGGGGGACTGGTGGCATGCACGGAAGATCGATAAGAACGGGCGCGTCCTGGGCACTGGGAATGTGCCCAGTAACTTCCTGGCCAGTGCAGAGTTCCTGGAAATGCAACCGTGAGTGGCGCAGCTTGCTTTATCTAAATCTTTCCAGAAAGGAACAAAATGTTGTGATGGTATTTAGGCATCATTTTCAGCCACTGCCAATAACTTCAAACAGCAGACCTAGGAGTTAACGCCGTAAATCTGCTAATTCAATTTACTGTGCATTTGACTTGTTATGCAAGTAAATCCTCTATTAAAAATTAGAGGCTAAGCATAAATATTAACAAAAATGTGAAAGATGAAGTGGACAGGAAAACATAGGGAACAGAATGTCTGCAAACATGAAGTGTAGACTAAGACTGGTATGGCGCAATTTAACAGCTGAAAGCAGCTATTTCTGATGTCATACCTAATAAACCTTCAGCCAAGTGACCCAGTTCGGGAGATGCTGATCTACTGGGTGTAAAACAAACGCACATCTTTTTTTGTCAAGAAGCCAATGTTCCCAAACAATAAGTTCTGATATTTCTGTCTCCCAATGACTTACAAAACGTTAGAACTTCCTTATTTCTATTTATTTATAGTGGTAAAAGTATTGTACATTTCCAGCAGCGGTCAGTGCCTAAGGAGCCCATCTGGCCTGGTATGGTGTTAAAACAGACATTTTATAAAGAAGTTATTGCCTTCACCATCTCAAAGTGCAACATTTTATCAAGTGGCACAAGACCTCTATACAAGCAAAAGCCTCCTCTAAAACTCGAACAGTTACCAAATGTGTTGTGGACACAAGATGGCTGTGGCTCAGGAGTTAGAGCAGGTCATCTCCTGACTGTAAGGTGTGAGTGTGAATGGGCAGATAATGTGAAAGCACTTTGAGTGTGCTGCAATGTATAGGAAAGTGCTATATACATATAGGACCATTTACAAGTTTTATCATGCATTTATCTCTGACAGCTAGTGAGTATTTATATGGCCATAATTTTGCCATTATATAAAGATCTCTCACTTTATTCTTCCACTTCTTGACATGCATCACATACAGTATATCCTCTGTTGTAAATGACAAAGTGAGAATTGTCACTAACACCTTTCATAATGTCAGCCCCATGTGTGTGTGGCTGGCTGGAGTGATACAAAAAAGGATGACTGTCACCTCACCACCAAGTTTGGTCTGGTTTTCTCTGTCATTATTGCTTCAACAGAATGGGAAGTGTGTACAATGTGGTTATTCCCGCATGTCAGCAGGTGCTGGAGAGCTGCAATTAATATAGGCCTATACCTTATTAATTTTTATACTGGAGTCACTTTTATTATTTGTCACTTAATTAAACACTTCAGCCAAACTTATACAATAAAATAAATAAAAATAAAATTAGTAATATTTAGAATTTGCTATAACAATAGTTCTATGGTTCATTTCAAAGTACATCAGAGTCGCATGGTTTATTTGGTTTTTGTTTTTTATAGGGCCAAACTACTGCTTGCTTTATTTTTGATTAATCTGGCAATTATTGTCTGTTAGTTAAATTCCCATCATGGTTTTCTAAACCTCAAAAGAATATCTTCAAATTCCTTGTTTTGTGTGTGTGTATCAGAACCTAAATATATTCAACGATCTATCAGCCAAGACAATATAAGCAGCAAAATTCTCATTATAAAAACCTGAAACTAAGGATAATCTTTGACTTTTAATTGTTGATTAATTTTTCAGTTAGCTAACTAATCGAATTCGCTTTGCAAATGTACTACTTTAAATCTCCATCCAGTGACAGTTCAAGTTGAGAAGTTTGACTAATTGTTTTTGGCAAGGTGGCATACTGTCATGATTCGGTTCCGCTGCTTCTCGTCCGGCTTTTATTTTGACATTATTTCCTGTTTTTGTTTCACCTTAGTTTTGGTCTTTTTACGTTCTTCTTCACTCACATTAGATTCACCTGCTCCCGATTAGTTTGCACCTGTTTGCACCACGTTATAAGCAGCCTTCACCCATTAATCCTGGCCAAATTGTTCTAAACCCCAGCTCTGACTTTCTAGCATTTTCTTCAGTTTTGGTATTTTGTGTTTCTGATCCCGGACTGTTACCTCGGACTATTCTATTCTGCCTTGCCCACTTGTTACGGACTGCCACGGTGTATGATTATCGGACTTTCTCTTTTGGACAACGAACTTTGGATTCCCCTGGATGTATGTGTTTGCTGGCTCTGACCTGGGACTGATACCGACCGTGAGTTTTGTGTTTCACCTTGTCTTGTATGGTTTTGTTTAGTTTTAGTTCTCTTATTAAAGAGACGGTTTTGTTCATCACTTCCTTGTCTGGCCATTTAATGAGTTCACCAAACACTTTTTGGCCGCATTACGCGCGCCGTTTCTGACAAGATGTTCTTAGGGGTTTGTCTGGGCTTCGGCTGGGCCAGTCAAACTTGTACCGAAGTCACTCCAGTGGTGTCTTGACTGTAAACTTCAGGCCACTGACATGCTGAAAGGTGACCTGTCGATCCAGCCTCAGGCTGCATGTTTTCATCACAGACCTTTATATTTGGCTGCATTCATACTTCCCCAACTCTGCCGCTGAAAAGCTTCCCGAAGCATATGGTACCAGTACAGTGCTTGACAGTAGGTTTGGTATTAGCCAGGTGATGAGTAGTGCCTGGTGTTCACTAGGACTTGACAATGATAAAGTAAAAACAGGTTATTTGGAGTGTTTTGTAAATTAATTAGATAAGAGATTGAAATATTCCTCTTACATAAGTATGACACTGATGTGACACTTGCCAAACGCTGTGTAGACAACAGATTCTCGGTGGGTTCATCGCTATAAGGTAACCTTTCACATCATTTGCAGTTATTTGATCCATTTTCAGTTTGTCACCATAATACTCTGGGGGGATTATCAAAGTTGAAATTCTACTTAGTGACTTTAACCACAACAATCACTGACAGCAGCTCCAGCAGCAGCAGCCTCTGCCAGTTCCCCAGCTGGAAAATGGTGACGTCCCCTCTGATGCCAGGGGGCCCGGGTGTGCCGACAACAGTGTCCCCGCCAGGGCCCGGGGTAATCAGTGTGCCGATGGTGAACCACCAGCCAGGGTCTTTGCTGCAGTACCTGCTCCTGTGCGGGTCGGCCAGCGCGCCGACATCGCCTTCAAGCCTGTTCCTGATCTTGCCCCTGAGCGGGTCCCCCCAGAGGCCGCCCTTTGGCATGATCGCTAAAACCTCCCCGCTGAGACCAAGAAAACCAGGTGCGCCAACAACAGTGCCCCCGCCAGGGTACCAGGTCTACAGTGTGCCGACGAGATCCTGCCCCTAGAGGCGATTACCTCTGGTCCTGTAGGGCTTGGCTGGACCGCCAAAGCCCTCTTCCTGCTTCCGGACTTTGAGGGGCTCGGCGAAGACGCCTTGCCCCTGCTCCCGGTCTTTGAGGGGCTCGGCGAAGACGCCTTGCCCCTGCTCCCGGGCTTTGAG